GATATGCAGATGATACCACTCTGATGGCAGAAAGTGAGGAGGAATTAAGGAACCTTGTAATGAGGGTGAAAGAGTAGAGTGCAAAAAATGGCCTGAAACTCAACATCAAAAAAACTAAGATCATGGCCACTGGTCCCATCACCTCCTGGGAAATAGAAGGGGAAGATATGGAGGCAGTAACAGATTTTATTTTCTTGGGCTCCATGATAACTGCAGATGGAGACAGCAGCCACGAAATTAAAAGACGCCTGCTTCTTGGGAGTAAAGCGATGACAAACCTTGACAGCATCTTAAAAAGCAGAGACATCATCTCGCCAACAAAAGTCTGAATAGTCAAAGCTATGTTTTTTCCTGTCATGATATATGGAAGTGAGAGCTGGACCATAAAGTAAGCAGACCGCCGAAGAATTGATGCCTTTGAATTGTGTTGCTGGAGGAGGCTCTTGAGAGTCCCCTGGACTGCAAGGAGAACAAACCTATCAGTTCTAAAGGAAATCAACCCTGAGTGTTCACTGGAAGGACATATCCTGAAGCTGAGGCTCCAGTACTTTGGCCATCTCATGAGAAGAGAAGACTCTTTGGAAAAGACCTTGATGTTAGGAAAGTGTGACGGCAAGAGGAGAAGGGGATGACAGAGGATGAGATGGCTGGACAGTGTCTGCGAAGCAACCAACATGAATTTGACCCAACTCCGGGAGGCAGTGGAAGATAGGAGGGCCTGGCGTGCTCTGGTCCATGGGGTTACGAAGAGTGGGACATGACTTAACGACTAAACTAAACTAAACTAAGACTGCTACATGAAGAGTGGGACATGACTTAACGACTAAACTAAACTAAACTAAGAGCACACTGCTACATGTATGCCAAATTTGGTGTGGATCCAGAGCCCAGGGTAAAAGTTACAATTTTCTGTTTGGGTTCTCCCATTTTTAGAATTATCTTATACAATGTTGATCTGCTCTGCCAGCACAATAACATCACTGCACTCTCATGCAGTGATAATAATGTATTGAAAGAAGTCTCTGAAATAACCAATCACCTCACTAGAGGTCATGATTTCATTGGTTATATGAGGTCAATTTTTAAAAAAAAACCTGGGAAGTGTGACTGAAGACACACTGGGGGCCATGATGGTCCAATGCAACCCACAGGGCTCACTTAGCCCACCTCTGTTGTACATCAACATCATCTTACCCTGGCGTGAACTCTGCCCAAGTATTCAAACTGCTGATCTTCAAAATGAAGGAGATAAAACGCGATGTTTTGTTATTCAGCCTCTTTGCAGGATATGATATACAGGAGGCTATAAAAGTGATATATTGGCAATCAAAACCCAAAGAAAAGATGCCTTGATGGCCATATTTCTTTCTTCTACTTTTTTCCAGAATCTTCACACTTCGATTCACACATCTACCAACCTCCCTTCAGCTGATGTAGATCTATGCAGCTAGCAATCCAGATTTACAGTCGTTTTTTTAAAGCTCCTAATAGAACGTTGTCTGCTTTCCCTACTGATAAATGTTTCTCCATATATGTAGAATAATCTCTCCCCCACAGCTCCATTGAATTCAATAGAAAGTCTTATTTAAGATGTACTTAACTCCTTTTTTCAAGTAAAATGAACAGCGCTTTAAAGTTCCCAGACTTGCTTGGATTGCATCAGACAATGTGTCTTCGTATTCATTCTTCCGAGTGGGAACTACATGATGACCATACCCGGAGATAAAGAGGTAGGATGCAAAGTGTTGAGTATATTAGGACTTGGGAGGTACCCCAAGTTTGGAAGGAGGAAAAAAAAACAAAGGAGGCAGGGCCAGGACATTTGTGCACTATCAGAGCAGATATGGAGCAATTCAAGAAGCTGACATTGGCACCTGGATTGGTTAAAGCATTCCTAGAAAGTTTGCTTCCCACAAATGTCTCCACCTCTTATCAAAACCTTTACCTGAAGCTCCTTGTGCTGAAGAGGCAAGTCACTATTCAGTTCCGAAAAGCAGCTTGCCCCAGCTCCCATATACATTTCAAGAAATCTGGCTTTCTAGGCTTTGTAAACCCCCCCCCCCATTTGCTGCAATGGATTATAATGAAAGTCAGCCACTACTTCACAATCTACAGGCACCTATTCAACATACTTAAGCACACTCTTCATGCATAGTATGAATTACTATATCTATATCTGTATCTATATCCATATGTATAACACCAAAGGAGTGTGAAGAGAGTTACTATCTAGTGCTAGGCAGGGAGTAAGTTTACAGTTGTCAGAGCAACATCTGGATTCCTGGTAAATGGCTGTTGGCATATCCAAAAGCTGCCCCATAAACTCTACTTCTAAATTTTTCAACAACAGCTAAATCTCACTTGTTAATTTGGCTTTCACTGTCAAGACAGCAACTGGTATACCAACATTGCAAACGAGGCCCATAAAAAAAGGTACATGCTATGCCTGGAGGCAATCACATTCAGAAGGCTACGTTGCAATAAAGTGTTATTAAAGAAACAAAGTTCCAGCTGTCTTAGTGAGCAATTAAGATCTCACATGGATCCACAGATCAAGTTGGCATGTGTGCAGCTCCCAGCACACACACACGCACGAACACACGCGTGCGCGCATGCACACACACACACCAGCCACCCCAAACACACACACACACACACACCAGCCACCCCAACCCTGTTTCAGGTTCTTGTCACCACATCATCTGCCACATCTAACGATGCAATTATAGATGGGATATTCGTATTTGTCTCGCGGGAGAGACAAATACCAATATCACCAACAGAGTTGGCTGGAATGATTCGACTCTCCCCCCAGAACCACTTACAGCACTGTGTGCAGGACCGTCATTACTCGCACTGCACCAATTGCAGAAGTAGCCTAGCTAGGGTTTCCCCACCTCCCTGCACTGCTGACCAATTCGGCAGGGAGGTAGGATGATGAGTCTCCCTGCTCAGCTGCTGAGTGGTCAGCAGTGCAGGGAGGTGGAGAAGCCCTGGTGCAGCACGAACAATGATGGCCGCATGCACCATGCTGCAAATGGTAACTGGATGGCATGGTTCTGGGGGAAGGATCCCACAAACCTGGCCACCTGTGGTGGCAATAGTTGTACTCGTCTTCCCCAGGAGACAAATATGGATATCCTGTCTCTAGTTGCAGTGATTCTGCTGGGAACAGGGTGCATGTTGCACATTAGGAGAACAATTCTGCTGGGACACATGGCATGTTCTCTCCATGCCTCATGTTTCCAAGCAGAACTAATGGGATTTGACTCACAGTTATGGCAGATACAGGGGCACCAGGAGATTTTCAACAGCGGTAGGAAAGTGCAGATACCTTCAGGTTCTGGCTCCCAACCCATGAGAGCTGCCCACACCTGTCATCAAGGAAAGTGATATCATCAGCTTCCGTAAAAGTGAGAACTCATGTACACAATTGTTTTATAGAAATTAGCACTACACCTTGTTTTGTGTGTGTGTTTTGTACATACTTATTACTATAGATTGACCCTGCCCAAAGGGTCCTCCAAGAAGCTTAAATGCAATCCTCTCCTTTATATTCAATTCTACATCCTCCTCACTTTCACTACCCAGACCAATTTGACCAGTGTGATAGCTGGAGAGGACAAGGGCTCTTTCACATTAAGAATGTATTCAATTTAGACCATCCACATAGTAATCAACAAGAACAACAGTACAGTACTGCAAAGTCATCCCCCAAGTTGGCTCAGATATTCCAAGTAACAGCAATTGTTAACCAATTAGCAACAAATCAAGGCATATCTCAGAATTTGAGGAACTTTGTATAGCAAAAGGTATGACTGCTAGGATCCAAGTCTCAAACCCCTATGTATGGTTGATAGAAATAATATTGGGGGGGGGAAGAGAACCCAACGTGGGTACTGAGACATCATCAGGCTAATGGGACAAAATCTGGGGGGGCACCCTTTTAAAGCAAATTGAACAACTTTGCAGGAAAACATAAATAAGTTAGCTCACAGGTGGCACCTAACTCCAATTTGTTTGCAATAGCAATACCCATCAAATCCCGCAAATGGCTGAAGCAGGCTGAATCTTCCGTTGTATATGGTTTGAACAACCAGAAATCTGCAGACCAATGTCCTATGAATTTATATAATTCATAGGACATTGGCCTGCAGATTTCTGGTTGTTCAAACCATATACAAGAGCAGAATCTAACATTACAGGGCAGAATCTATGAAAAATGGGGATAACTTTTTATTTTATCATTATTTGCTGAGATTATCTCCTATGCATCCACAAGGATCTGATTGTGTCACTGCTGCCCATGACCAGACTGGAATTTGCCCAGTGCTGGAAAAATCTGGACAATCTTACCAGAGAAATTGATTCATGAATTGACCATGTCTAAAGGCTTAGAAACAACAGACAAATTTATCAAGACCTAGTTGTCATACTAGGAGTACAACAAGGCTGTATATTGTCCCCTGGCTTATTTAACTTATACGCAGAATACATCATGCGAAAGGCTGGACTGGAGGAATCCCAAGCTGGAAATAAGCTTGCCGGAAGAAATATCAACAACCTCCAATATGCAGATGATACCACTCTGATGGCAGAAAGTGAGGAGGAATTAAAGAACTCCATAATGAGATTGAGAGAGGAGAGTGCAAAAAACAGTCTGAAGCACAACATCAAAAACAAACAAACAAACAAAAACCAAGATCATGGCCACTGGTCCCATCACCTCCTGGCAAACAGAATGGGAAGCTATGGAGGCAGTGACAGATTTTATTTTCTTGGGCTCCATGATCACTGCAGATGGTGACAGCACCCACGAAATTAAAAGATGCCTGCTTCTTGGGAGTAAAGCGATGACAAACCTTGACAGCATCTTAAAAAGCAGAGACATCATCTTGCCGACAAAGATCCACATAGTCAAAGCTATGGTTTTTCCAGAAGTGATGTATGGAAGTGAGAGCTGGACCATAAAGGAGGCTGACTGCCAAATAATTGATGCTTTTGAATTGTGGTGCTGGAGGAGGCTCTTGAGAGTCCCCTGGACTGCAAAGGAAATGAACCCTGAGTGCTCACTGGAAGGACAGATCCTGAAGCTGAGGTTGCAATACTGTGGCCATCTCATGAGAAGAGAAGACTCCCTGGAAAAGACCCTGATGTTAGGAAAGTGTGAAGGCAAGAGGAGAAGGGGACGACAGAGGATGAGATGGTTGGACACTGTCACCAAAGCTACCAACATGATTGTTACGGGTTTTTTGGGCTCTTTGGCCGTGTTCTGAAGGTTGTTCTTCCTAACGTTTCGCCAGTCTCTGTGGCTCGCATCTTCAGAGGACGGCACTCTGTGCTCTGGTGTAGTTTGCTTGGGAGTGGAGTATTTGTGGCTGTGAGATAGGCTTTTGTCTTATTCAGGAAATGGGTGAATAGTGTGTCTTGTTGTGGGTGTATTGTTGTGGTAAGGAGAAGAGATTTTCTGTCACTGCGACTGATGGGTGTCATTAACTGGTCTTTTGTGTGTAGTGATCCCCAGTCCTTGTTGCTGGGTAGAGGTTGTTGACCTTTTGCACACTGTATTTTTCAGAGCTGGAAGCCAAGTTTTGTTACGTTTCAAACTTTCCTCTTTTTTGTTGAAGTTCTGCTGGTGCTTGTGGATTACCAACATGAATTTGATCCAACTCTGGGAGGCAGTGGCAGACAGGAGGGCCTGGCGTGCTCTGGTCCATGGGGTCAGGAAGAGTCGGACATGACTAAATGACTAAACAACAACAACAGTTGCCTTCTCGGCCTTTTGGCTAAGATCAAGTGTAGTGTAGTGTAGTGTAGTGTAGTATCTTTTATTGTGTATGCAAATAACAGCCCATAGTTTCTATGACCAACAGCCTATGTTTTGAAATTTTGAAGAAATCTTCTCCATCCCCTTTTACATCTGTTGCCCTTAGTCTAGGAATGTGTAACTACACTGGGCTCTGTAACACATGGTATTTTCTGTCTAGCTAGAAATGGATGAATCTGCTTCTGATTTGTTTTATTTTTTTAAAAAAAGAGCTTGGGGTTAGAAACAAATTTTTGTCAGATTATTTGACAGTCTCAGGAAAAGTACCTCCTGAGAGTCACAGTAAAAATGAAACACACATTTGGGGGGGGGGGAAGGCAAGGCAGATACAGTGGTGCCTCGCATAGCGAGGTTAATCCGTTCTGGATTAACCTTCACTATAGCGAAACATCGCTGAACGGGACAGGGAAAGCCATTGGAACGCATTAAACATCGTTTAATGCGTTCCAAAAGGCTCGTTTACTCACCGTTCAGCGAAGTTTCCTATGGCCGGCAGCCATTTTTGCGCCCTCGTTAAACGAGGGGAGGGCGCGAAAACACTGCGCACGGCCATTTTGGGGCTTCTGGTGGCCATTTTGTCCACCGAATAGCTGATCGTTGGAGCTTCATTTTGCGAAGATCGGTAAGCGAAACGCTTACCGATCTTCGCAAAGCGAATTTCGCCCTATCTAAAGCTCGTTGAGCGATCGCATTAGCGATCCCAAAAAAGGGATCACTATGCAATTTCGTCGTTGTACGGTGCGCTCGTTAAGCGAGGCACCACTGTAGGTTGTTATGGAGAAATAAAGTATGCCCAACCAGAGTGTATATTTAGAATGTGAAGAGATTTTAAAAAAGGAAGACAACTGATACAAGATACACAGTGTGGTCTACTTAATGGGGGAAAATGAGTGCATTAGGTAAAATATATTAAAAGGCATGCATATTTCTATATCAAGAGGAAAAAAACTGAAAGCCTTAAAAAGACGTGTTATGAAAGAAGCAAAACAACCTATTTTTGTTACTGCTGAATTTTGCTGGTCCATGGCAGTAGCAGAGTTCTATGGGCCAAAATTGGTCTCCAAACCCTTTGAAGTTCTCCACCATGTTAGAAAAGGAGTTTGCCTCAGCTTTCTTGCACATATTGGGTGCTTCGTTGCTCCTCAGGAACTTCATTGCTTTGAAAGCACCTTTGCTCCCAAAGATTGGGAGACTGTGTCCTAGAAGCAAGATCAGTGTCTTCCGAATTCCTTGGGCCTTTAAAAATAAACTTTGGTGGAGCATTTGCCCAGCTGTCTCCTAGCTGTGGCTAAAGAGTAGAACTTGGACAAGAAGCAAATGCTTACGTGCAATTTGCTGATCTCTTTGATAAAATGGATTTCTCTTGTCGAAGTGGAATATGCATACCTTTGGATTTCACAGTTCTCTTCATGAAACAGGCAGCCTTGAAAAGAAATGAAAGTGCCAATGTTTTTGGATGAGATGATCTGGCATCTTTGGTATCTCAGACGTTGCCATATCAACCTATTTATTTCCTTTATTCTGTACTCTACAGAACTGCATTACTTGCGAGCTATTGACCATTTCAAGGCACCCCCCTCTGTGCACCTCAAAGGAAATCAAAGGAAATATCACACTTCATATCATATGCTTTCACAGTGTGGTTTTCACTTATGAGCCAATGGAAACCTGGTGCTTTCAAGTCACTGAGATATCAACAGGAGAGTTGGTAGTTAAACCGGTCTTTTGGAATTAGTGGGATAAAATTGCTTACATTTTGTTGACTCACACTGTCAATAAACCATCTATTGTCATTCAAGATTGGTTTGTCTGAACATTTTAGGAGAGCAAGGGAAGGAAGAAGGCCAGCCTCACACTCCAGCCCCCAGTGAATGCACTCTCTTCATATGACGAGCAACTGTCTGAAGAGGTCAATATCTCCTGCATGGAAATACAATCCCTAATTTTTCAAAGTTCTTGACTTCATGGACAGCCTCTATGTGTACAAGAGATGTTCACTTTCTCCTCCAGGAACAGCAGCAACAGATGGGGAGGCAACAGATGGGGTGCAATTCCAACTTGCTTCCTCTTCTCATGCTTGAGAGTAACCCTGCTAGGAATGTCTACATAGGGTTTTTGTAGTTATTTTACACCTTGCCTGCAATACAGTGGTGCCTCGCTTGACGAGGGTAATTTGTTCCATTGAAATCGCTGTACAGTGAAATCCTTGTCAAGCGAAACGAAAAAGCCCATTGAAATGCTTTGAAACTGGTTCAATGCATTCCAGTGGGATAAATACCTCAGCGAAGATCCTCCATAGGGGCGGCCATTTTTTGTGCCTGTAAAGCGAGGAATCCGTCCTGAAAACACAACGGGGAGCCATTTTGCACAGCAGGCTGCCATTTTAGAGCTGCCGATCAGCTGTTTCTAAATCATCGTTTAGCGAAAAATCGGTTCCCGAAGCAGGGAACCAATCATCGTTAAGCAAAATTTCCCTATCTAAACATCGTTTAGCGATCGCAAAAGTGAGTTTTTGTGCCTGTAAAGCGAGGAATCCGTCCTGAAAA